GGTGTTTTAAGAGACTTCAGACCCAGTTAACCTATTGGGTACTCCAAATCTGATAAAAGCTTTTTGCTATTATGTTAGAGTGAGCATACAAACAGTGCTTGAACTCTCTCTTGATTCCAAGTTATTGAACCATTTTAATGAGAGCATGTCAGAAGAAATGCAAATGAATGCTAATTTAGCAAACCTACATTTCTGTCATCTAAAATCCTTTATAGTTGGAATGATTTAGGGCTAATCTTTCTGCTTTCTGCATGGGTATGAGCATGAAGGACATTCATGAAATGCAATCTAGTTGTAAGTGTCTCCAGAACATTACTTCAGTTATCTTTTGCCATTACTTTTCATTTACTGTAAAAGCATGTGTGCGTACCTTCTCAAGCAGTGTTTTAATATTGTTAGGCTTCAGGCTTGGGAAGAATGAAACCAAATACCTTGGTGATTGGATTTAAGAAGGACTGGAGAAATGCTGCTGCCACGCAAGTTGAAAACTATGTGGGTGTTATACAGTAAGTCACAGATCAGTACCTCCTTTTTTTTACTCCTCTTAGACTAGCATTTCCATACAGAATTTGACATGTAGAACCAATGTAAGAAAATACCTACAATCTGGGTTGACACATGCTAGCTCTGTAATAGAAGTTTCTGCCCATTAAAAAAGGCTCCTTGGCTTCACACACCTAGCAAGACCTGCTTAGCAGACACCTGGCACTGTCAGAGCTGATGTGGATTGACAATGCTACATAAAAAAGCTGCACTGCTGTCAGCAGTGCTTTTCCAGAACTATATTTTTCCATTTTTAGTGGCCAGCAGCTCAAAGAAAAACAACCCTAATGTACATACTTAGAGAATAAGAGAACATCATGGAATTCTTTTAAGCCTAGGAGACAGAGGAAGAGCCTTGCTTCAAATCTCATGTGTGCCTAATGCTCAGCAGCTCTGTGGGTTGGGATTTAGCTAGGAAACAGTCATTTAGAAACAGGCTTCTCCTAGATTCTTTCTCAAACTTCACCTGTAAAGCTGAAGTGAGTTAAAGAACAATAAAAACCACCTCAGCTTTGTTATTTCCTCAGAGAAGGCAGAAAAAAAATTACCCAATAGCAACTTAGTTCCTCAGAAGTGTTTTCAGAAAGACCCATTTCAGGAACAGCCTATCTGTTCCAATGCCCAATGATACCCCCCCCCCTTTTTTTTTTTAATGAGGGAAGAAAGTTGATAGTACTTTACTTAATCTTGGGCAATTTCTTCTGCAATTTTACCTAGAGCAGCCTAGTACATGGTAGTAACACCTCCCTGTGAGCACTGACACTTTTACTGATCAGCTCAAAGTAGCTTTCCTCGTTGACAGGCATGATGTGGATACTTTTTTTTTTTTTTTTTTT